CCCAGCACTTTGGGAGGCTGAGGTGGGAGGATCACTTGAGACCAGGATTTCAAGTGATCTGGGCCAGCCTGGGCAACATAGCAAGACCCCTGTCTCTACAAAAAATTGAAAAAAGAAAGACTGCTACCTCGTGGGGTCCTGGAGAAAACCCTTATGGAGAAGGTCAGATCTGGGTGAGGCAGGCCTGGATCGGATTTCATGGGGCAAGGAGATTGGAGGCCCTATTAAATGGCAAACATATTTAGACTTATGACCTTACGGGATCTAAGCAGAGGGGAGCAGTCTACTGGGATCAATTTGGGTGGGAAGCTATATGGGTGAACCCTGATCGTGAGCCCTTCACAGCTTAAAGCTGTAATTTCATTGGTTTTTTTTTTTTTTAATATGTATCAGCTTTCTCAGGTTGAATACGGCTTAAATCTTATTGGAACTTCTCTCAGAAGCTGTAACATCCTCCAAACACCAGAAGTACAGTCTGGATGCTTGATAATTAAAATTGTATTACAATTCACTAAGGGAAAAGAGAATCACCCCACACCTGGTTCACTACCAAAAAGGGGCGAGGTAACCTCTGCTGTGTTCCCACTCCAGTCATTTCTCATTTCAGCATCTTCACTTCTTGAGACCAACATCGCATGCGTGGCCCCCTGTCCATTCAGCACGTCCCTCTAAGCCCCATACCCTGTCAGCAGAACATCATGCCAGGTGAGTGCCCCAGCTATGTGTATTTATCATGGGAGGAAGGTTTGGGGAATGCTGGCCAGTCAGGTGAGGGGGAAGCATGGTTGGTCTCGCTGCACTTGATACTTCTTCGTCCACCTACCCACTAGTTAGGATGATTTACCTGTTTCACTCACCTGTGAGCTCCTCAGGGTCAAGGCCACATCTTTGTCTTGATACGGGCCCTAGCACTGGGTCTGGCACTGGGAAGGCGTTCCTTGAAGGCATGCAGGACATGTTTGTGGGTCATTGTCAGGCTTGTGCCTCGCCAGCGGATGAAAAGAATAAAATCCGCTTGCCTCTAGGGAGACTCGAAAGTGCACCATAGTATAGACTGTCCTCTAGAAGCAAGCCCCACAGGTCTCTGCTCCGTGGGAACTGAGGCTGAGCCTTTGGGGACGACTAATCTCTCCAGCTTTGCCAGACAATCCTGACAGCCCTGGGTAGGTGCCAGGGCCCTGGGTCCCAGGACAGAGCCCCATCCTTGCAGATCCACCTTGCAGTGGACTTGTATTGATGCCCACCAGTGCTGGGCACAGTGCGGCCCTGAAGTGAATAAAAGGTGCCTCTAGAAGCCTCCTAACGTGCAGTTTGTTGTTAGAGGTACATGGTGACATGCCATACAGCAAATAAATAAAATATTGGAACCCTGCTTTTCACAGGGTCCCATCAATAGCAACATGTCCAAAATGTAGGTGTCACCTTCCTCCCCAAATGTGTTCCTCCTGTCATTCCCTTCTGGATTGGTCATACCACCGTCCAAGCCAGAAGGCTGGGGCAGCTACTCCTTACAGTTCAGCCCCTACAGCCTCTCCCTCGGGGAGCCTTGTGTCCCTCTAGGTGGCCGCTGCCGACACCCATGCCTAGACCCAAGCCACAACCTTCTCTCCAGCCCCTTGTCCTCTGGGCTTCCCCTTCAGTCTTCATGTGGCCTCAAGAATGATTTTTTAATTTCCTTTTGGAACTTTCTTTGTATTATACAGTGTAGTGGGTTGAATACTGGTGCCCCAAAACTTCATGTCCACCGGACTCTCAGAAGATGACCGTAAGTGAGATAAGGGATTTCGCAGTTATAATTGAGTTAAGGATTCAAGATGAAATCATCATGAATTTAGGATAGGTCCTAAATCCAGCGAATGGTGTCCTTATAAAAAGAGAAGAGGACATAGAGACACACAAGGGAAGAAGGCCTGGGAAGAGTGGCAAAGAGTGGAGTGATGCACAAGCCAAGGATTGCCAGGAGCCCCCAGAAGCTGGAAGAGGCAGGAAGGACCCTCCCAGAGCCTTCAGAGGGGCACAGCCCTACCCACACCTTGATCTCAAGAGAATACATTTTTGTGTTTTAAGCCACCAAGTTTGTGGTAATTTGTTATGGCAGCCCTAGGAAAGTAATACACACGGGAAAACCGTGTTTACTGTAGAAAACAGGAGAAAATATGGATAAGCAAAAAGAAAAGAAAAAACACACACAGGCAATTCTGCCTCCCAGAGATAACCACTGTTAACATTTTAATGTGTGTCACATCAAAGTGATATTTCTAAAATGCAACCTTCTAAAATGCTTAAAACTCCCAAATACCTTCAGGAGAACATCGAAGCTCCTTCACAGGGCCTTCCAGAACTGGACCTTTTTGTGAGTCTTTTCCCCCGACTCCGTAGGATTCTGTGGAATCGATGACATGCACTTGCCTGTGCTCGTTCCTGGCCGGGAGGTCTGGCTTTCAGCATAGTGGGGCCTCCTGGTGGAAGTGAAGTTGCTAGGGGACCCGTGGGGTAAAGGTGAGTGCAGCCGCTCCCATTTCCACCCTTGATTCCTGGAGCTTACGTTACACATAAGTAGGTAATCGCCATTCGTGCCAGCCACCTGTGGGGGTTTCTGACATTTCCTTTTTATCTGGAGACTCCAGCTCCATCAGCTCCCTCTGGCAGAGCTACAAGCAGGGTCTGTGAGAGGCGCTG